CCCATACCCTTTGTTTAGAATATTTCTGTAAGTGTTATATGTTTCTTTAGTACTGTGTCAAGCATTGCAAGGAATAGTTGGTGTTTTTTGTATACCAAAAATTAAATGAAATTTAAATAAATTATTAAAGAATGTGTAGTATATAAGTAACTGTTTTTGAAATTACACTGAAGATGAGACACACCATGGTCTCGAAACGTCTGTAATCATAAAATAAAGTTGTGTTAAACAAATCTGAGTGCTGTTTTGTTCATATTAAACAATTAATATTCGTTCCACTCATATCATAAAATTCTATATATATATATATATAGATATATATATATATATATATATATATACATATACATATACACACATATATATATATATATATATATATATATATATACATACATATACATATACACACAAACACATATATATATATATATATATATATATATATATATGTACATATGGTTGTTCAATGTCTTGTGTGGACAGGGTGGTGTGTCCAAGCCTCGCTTTCTTGTATTCAAAAATAGCCCAATTGCAGCACTGCAAAATGAAATGACAATTTCATATCACACACTATTCTTCCCTGATTAAGATCGAGTTCTAGCTCACAGACCTGCCCAAGGGCACAGACTCCTATTATGTGTGTGTGTGTGCTTTCATGTCAAAAAACTATCTAAATTATATATATCTTTTTCTAGATTTCTAGAAAATTTAAATATAATTTAGACATTATCTATACCATATAACTGAAGTATTGAGAATTGATCTGAATAATAAATACCAAACAAGAGATAGAAGTTACTAGAACTCTCTTAATGCGCTCAAAAGGTAACTTAAAATCCCAGCAACAACAATTCAAAAAGGTCATAAATTTGTATTGCAATCAAAAAAGAGGAACATATTCAAAAATAAGGAATAAAATTTATGCCTAAGATATTCTTGTAAAACAACTCTGTTTATATTCATCTTGGTGCTCAATCAAATAATGATTAAGTTACATTAAATCTATGTATAGTCTCTATCTGAAAACCTTTTCTGCACATTGTGTTAATCTGCTTTAAAATGTTGAACAAAATATCATTATCATCATTATCACAAAGAAAAAGAAATCATTATGTTCTCATAACAGTAACTGGCAAAAGTTCAAGAAAGTTATATGCAAACACATTTGCCAATTTAATTAAAAGATAAAACCAAAATTACTTTCATCTGAAAACCATATCAACAGCTTACTAAAATGAATTACTGTATGGGTATGTCATTTGAAAACTATTTTGCTGTTATCCGGTAAATTATTGTACAATTCATGATCTATATACTTCTCGATATCTGTTAAACGTATTATCACCAATAATAAATAGAAATAAGCTGTATAGCAAAATATACTCCATGAAGTAGCCACTTATTTACAATTTCTACATTTGCTAAAACATTTAACAACTTCATTATTTATTACTATAAATTTATAAAAAAAAACACATTCATGAAACAATCACAAAAAATATGAACATTGCGCACAGTTCAAGTATCAACTATTTGATTTGAAAAATTTTGAAAAAGACAAGAGCATGATCAGCAAATAAACTTTCCCTACCATTTGCCAGTTCTGAAAACCAACAATATGATCCTTTTAACAGTCGTAAAATAATGCAGATGATAATGATATTTCATCAAACATCAGAATACAGTTTTTGCTATTCAAATATTTTTTCTCTGCCATAGCTGAACCCAATGTTTGGAAAACAGTCTCATTAATACCACTATACAAAGGAATTGCTGAGAGCAACTTTCTCAATGTTTGAGGAGCAGGCAAAACAAATATTTTTCTCCACAAGTAATAACCTCTTGGAGTAATTTTATGCAGAGTTAAAGCAAGAATTTTATTATTAAGTGTAAATTTTCAACCTTTTGGCTTTTTCGTATGTTCTCTTAGTTGACTTAATATAAAATTAGGAGCACTCTTATTTAATGTTGCTGGGAGACAAGCAAAATTTTCAGCACATTTGAGACTTTCTCGTAACTCCTGCCTCAATGTTTTTTTTGTATATTTATCCTTCTGATTTCTTTTCTCAACACATTTGTTATATTGTATAAATTTTGTTATTTTCATAACTGGTCTCTGCACGGCTTATATCTTGAGTTAAGAACCTCTGCTAAAAAGAAATAAATCTAGAATCATTTGCTACGAACATAAATTGTAGTATAAAAAATTTTAAATAACAAATCTTTCAGGGACGGTTTTCCTTCTTCGGTTTTGCCTTTCTTTTGGCTTCAACATTCCTTGTTGCTCTACTGCTGTAAAGTCCAAGAAAGGCACAATAAAATGTTATATTAGAATAATATAAACAGATGAAAGCTCATTTAATGATAAAAGTTATTTACTTTGCCTGTCCATATCATTCACGCATGCATTATGAGACGATTCAAACATTCCTTGTGTCTCTACTAGTGTAGAGTCCAAGAAAGCTACAATAAAATGTTATATTAGAATAATACAAAAAAGTGTTATAAAAAGAATAATTTTTCAATAACATACCTTCCAGAAAGGGATTTAGTAAGACGGGTGTCTTGTATTTATAACCTTAAAATTCCTAGCATTGATACTGTTAAATGCCTCAGTTATTAAGCTACAATAAAAAATTATATCAGAAGTGCTAGTAATACATGCGAGTATTTTGTTGTGTGCATATTGACAAAACTTCTTATTCCCCTAGTTGATTGATAAAACTTCTTATTCCCCTAGTTCTCACCATCAGTGCTCAGCCCGGGCTCCAGTTATTTTACTAATCATTTTACAAATTATGTCATTTTCTGCAGAAAATACATGCATTTTTGCATATTTGTTGGTGTTCCGCATTGTTGTACACCGCACTTTCACATGATATTTGTTATGCTGCGTCCCCACTGCACGAATCCGTGCGGCGAATCCTGTTCGCGACGCACGCATGCGTTGGCTCTTGTGCGCGACGCACACTGCGAGCAATTTGATACATTTGAAACTTTTAGGATTCCATAATATTTTTTTTCTTGGTACAGTTCAATTATAAGAAGTGTAAAAAAGTATAACATCTTCTCTACGCATATCCATTTTCAAAATTGAGGATAAGATGAAATATCTCAATGCCTTAACTGTACAATTGAACTTATACCGTAGCACAGATCAACGTTTACGTACAAGTTCAAAGAAATAACGTATACGGATACAGAGGCAGGCTGACCAACAATTATCAGTTTTGAATAAAAATTATTACTTCTGTTCTAAATATAAATACTTGTCAGAAAAGACTTTGAGCAAAAATTCAGTCTGCATATTAATAAGATTTTAAATGATATTTAGCGTAATTGCAAATAATACAATATTACCATTTTTTTTTTGAAACATTTAATTTATTTTGAATAATAAATATATGATACGTCATATAAGTAGCAAGAGTATATATATATATATATATATATATACATGATAATATCATGATGATATAAAATTAACTCTGAAATATGATAAATAAAGTCTACCAAATATATTTTAGTTGGATATACATATATTTCAACATATCTATAACTTAATTACCGATGTATTTCCTATACTAATAGTTAGATAAAATTATAATTAGTACATCAATTTTAATGACTGCTTACTTATTTACATTTTTGATCCGCGCTTTGACGCTAATCCATTAGTGTCGGTTCGGGTATCCTCGGCAGCCCGATGCGTCGGGTTGCTCGCGGCGGGAGCGAGCGCCGCGAACGCAAGCTATTGAAATTTTCGTGTCGCTTCGACCATGTTCGGCAGGGTACGTAATTCTAAAAATAAACCCCCCCTCCCATTTTCAAACAAAAAAAGAAGAAAAAAGTGCGCTATGGACATGCGCAGTGGACAAATTTAAAGGAAATTCGTGCGTTCGCACAGTATCACTCCGCTGCGCAAATTTGTTCGTGACGCACCATTCGCCGCACGGATTCGTAACAGTGGAGACGCGGCATTATAAACTTTTAACAAACATTTGACACTTTGACACTAAAATATTATTCCGCCATATTAGATTCTCAAATATTTTCTTTAGCCCGTTTTGTAGCGCTACCAGCGCTCCAATCGCGGGAGACGGAACTAAAAACGAGATTACAGACACGGTTCCTCATCCAGTCACTGGCGGCCATTTTTTGACACGACAATATACTTCATGAAGAGGTGACAAACAAAGCAGGCGTACCAATATAAAAGTGTAAATAACCCTAGTACATAATGACAGTTCATAGACGTCAATGTGACAGTTACAATTTAATTTCAGCTCTCATATATTAATGTATATCAATATATTATATATATTTAATTTTTTTCTACGATCATAATATTACGTAGAGGATTTAGTACTGTCATAGTATATAGTAATAATCATATTAAGCCTGAAAGTGGTAAAATGTAGTACTTATATAAGAAGTTTTATTCAGTAAGTTAAATAAACGTACAACTGTTTTCTCCGAAAAAGTTATTGTCGTATAAAAATGTGAATAATAATCTGTCGAAATAGTTGTGACGTGCTATTATATAGCTGAAATTTGTTAAATTCTCAATCAATTAGGTGGAGTTCTGTAAGGTACCACAAAGTTTTGTTCAGGCATTTGAAATTATTTCCATCCTTGTTATAAAATTAACAGTACGTATCGTATTGAAAAATTGAACCTAATTTTGGTCAACAAATAAAAGATTAATGCTTTAACATAAGCTTTAGCATTGTTTTTTTTTAATCAAAAATATACTGTTTTTTATAAAAGAAAAACTATTCATTTATAATGATAAAAATTTATTGATATTATAGAACATATTAATATACATATATTTACAATTTAAAACCTATTTCCATAATATTGTTAAAGCATGGTATAATAAATATATTTATGCAAATAATGCAAATACCAATCACATTTAATTAAAATAATTAAATTATTTGTCGTTAGATACAAAAATGCACACATAAGCAGTGTGTTATGATACTGGCAAGGCTATATAATGTATAGATATTTACAATTTGAAACACATTTCCATAACTTGAATGAATGGCATAACTTTAAATAAATTATGCAAATAAAGCAAACATCAATAATAGTTAATTATGAAGATAATTAAATTATTTCCAGCATTAAATGCAAAGAATGCAAAGAATCGGCTACACTTCTTGAATCATTTTTATTTATAAAGGTATCATTTGGTGGTAACACCCGCCTTTTTATATTTCATAAATCTTTCTTCGTTATCATGGAAGCTCTCAGTGGTCTCAGTAATTTTTTGTTATAACAATCTTCACGTATGTTTTTTATAATAAAGTCATGATATACGCCTGCTTTAATTTGATCTGGAAAAAATATATTACAAATGACAAAGAACTAACAACAATGTGATAATTGCATTTATGAAAATAAATTAATTATACCCTTGATGTTTCTGATCAAATTTTGATCCAGCCGCACATATTTTATCTAATTTCCATGTCCCACATGTGTCTTCCAGTAATCAACTTCAACATGTCCGTCATTATACACCATGCACATAATTCGTGAGGGACAAGCATGCCCAATTTTTTTGCTACCCCTTAAACATGTTTCCTTTGTTTGGTGACTGTGTGATCGATGGCGATTATAATATTGAATGGTGCAGCAATTGTCTTTTGTTATGTATGCTGCAGTGTCCTTCACATATGACGTAATACTGTTCTGTTCCATCTCAGTTTTCCAGCTGTAAAAATCTATATCAAATGATGAAATTATAGAAATGTTTGTTGAAAATCTTCATAATTAAAAGTTGACAAACCATTAATAGAAGAAAACAGTTTGTCTTTGTGTTCAATATTGATGTGATGATGACATTCAATATGTTTTTGTAGTGCGCTGTACCGTGTGTAAGCATTCCCGCAATCCTCAATGGGGCAAGTAATTCTGAGAACCCTTGGAGAACCTATAAATGAACAATTATGGTAACTTTGTGGATTTAATATTAAATATATTTAAATAATACTTATATTTTAATACCTGTAAAATGTTCTGAGTACAGCGAAGCATTATCTTGGGGTCTGGGTCGCGTTGGGGTCACTGGAAAGAATGTGAGCGATATGGATGATTGGGAAAGTAGTGGGGAAGATGGTTGTCGAATAAAGGAAACAGTATTGGAATTAGCGGTTGTCATATGAATTGGTGAAGCAGGAAGCGCATCCGAGTGGAAGGATGTTGTAGGAATTGGTGAAGCAAGAAAAGCATATGAATGGAAGGATGTCGTAGGGATTGATGTAGCAGGAAGAGCATATGAATGGAAGGATGTCGTTGGTATTGGTGAAGAAGCAAATGATGTAGAAGGATTTGGCAAAGCAGGAAGAGTTGTGTAAGAAGTTTTTGAAGCAGTAAGGGTACATGAATAAGAAGTAGTGGGAGGAATTAATGAAGAGGGTAGAGCATAAGAAGGCAGCGCAAGGGATGTTTCTGGATTAATTCGGGAATCATAAAAATATGTGCATTGTAGTTTGGAGTCTGTAGGAGATGTATCAGGAATGGAGGAACGAAAAGTTTTGATGTGCCTTTGAAATGAGGAAGAAGCATGCAAATTTTTTTTGGCAAAATGTACATTCAAAATTTTGAAAGTACTCTTTAGGCTGTATGTGATGTACTAACCTGTTGTGACGGCAAAGAGAACTAGTGGAAGCAAAAGTTTTAAAGCAATGGATACATTGGTTTTGCTTTTTCATATTGAATATAAAAAAAGAAAGGGGTTGAACTATAGTATAAATCTAAACTAACTTAAGCTATGATTAAAAGATAACTTATGTATAAAAAAGAAATATGAACTAAAATATTATGAGCTAAAAGTAACGTAGAAATCAACTAACGAGATAAATATGAAATTTTTAAATGAAATGAAATCTAACCTAAATGTAACCTAGCTATGAATTGAAATGCAACCTAACCTAAGTGATTAAAACCTTATATATTTGTCTAAAAATAAAATAATGCAGATATACCTACTTCTAAAGCGATCTAAAAATTGTAAAATAGCTAGAACATAAATAGTAATATAATAACCCTAACCTATAAAACACGTAAAAACAAAGAAAAAGACCTTAACCTATAAAAATATGAACAAAATAATAAACTTAGTAAATAAAAAAATATATGTTAATATAATAATGACGAGCAACACACGATTCACAAGAAAATTATACTAAAACCGTATTAATAACGCACAAAATAATTAAAAAACGAGGTAGCAAAAAAAAAACACCGGAAAATAATAGATGAATAGGGAACGGGCAAGCTCATAAAAATGTCAGTGAAAACGCCATGACTTCACGGGGTGGCGAAAAAGTGCAAACACGGTTGCCAAACAAGATGGCGTTTGACAGGTTTTATTTCGTATTTTGACAGGTTTTATTCAAACTTATGTGCTTGTTAAAGATGGTTATTGCTTCTTATAATCGCAGTTTTTATCTATTTCTAATAATAATGCGGCATATCTGAGTCACCAATCATGTGCGTATATTAAGTGAAGAAAGCGCATGAATAAGAAAGTGAATTTTGTTATAATTAACGTTAGAAGAAATAAATTGCTTCGTTGGATAGATTTATTGAGGTATGTACTCATAATTAAAATGTATTTGCTATTGACCACCATATTAAAACAAACATGTGTTGCTTAAAGGCATGATAAAATTTTCAGACAAGGCCATAAGATATTTTATGATTTGCATGTTGTGTTATCAGCTGAACAAAGTTTAGATCTTTCTATTAGCACTTTGTTGCAGAATGAATCTCGTATTTGATACGATGTCAGGACTTACAGGATTTCTACACTGCAATTTGATTTGATTTAATTGTTTTGTTACCTGCAGGTATGTTTTGTTTTATTGCATGAAAAGATATTACTTTTAAAAGTTTTAGGAAGCTATTGTATCAGTATATGCACGATTGAAGAATTTCTCCAAAATTTTATATCGATGAGCAGTATTTGCTAATATTGATAGAAGAGGGTCTCCTTCATAGATTGGTAATTATTTGTGTGAATTTAATATTACACACCTGTTAAAATTTTATACTTTAAATTATATGCTCTCAATGTTTTTTCTTTCAGATTAATTTAGGTACATATAAGAAGTATTCATCATTGATTTCCAAAAGCTTTCAATTTATGTATTACATATAACATTTATGTACAGTTAATATTATTATACAAGCTAACAGTCATGATACATATATATTTAATCTAATATAAACTAACATTTCTTTCATTTACCATCCCCATCTTATCCAATAATGAAAGTTTGAAGGTTCACCAAAATAGGACGTAAAAAAACAATATTTTCACCAGAAAATTGATAGTCCTTTGGTATATTACATAGAAGTTTTAAAATTTTCATTCTGTGTATGACTCATTCTACATGTATACACACACTAGAGTTTAATTAATATCTCCTGGTGAAAGTAATCCATTTTAAATTTAATTTTAAACAAAGCGTATGCACAAGTACTGCTATATTTATTAATTTGTCTAACTCAGTCCATATTGATGAAAATCCTGACTATAAAGTACAATTAAAAACTTTGTCTTTTTTACTCATGAATTTACCTTTGTCAGTTAATACAGCACCTTCAGATTTTACTTTTTTTTTATTACGCCCGAGAGTACATTAATTTGGGTTGGAGTGATTCTGCCTAAGCCCACATTATTAACAAATGAAATAAAGCCATCTGGAGTGCAAATAAATAAGAACCTACTTTCAAATACCCTGGAAACTACCAACGAATGAAACTGAAAAGTAAAACCTAAAGCAATATAACTAATTTCTAACTTTCATAATTAGTGTTTTCTAAGAATCAAACTCACAAATGGATTTTTAATAATACTTTTATGCATGTAAATATGATCATTTAAGCAAATATTGATTTAATTTACTAAAGCCTCTTCAAACTTTGAACTTTCTTCATATTTTTCTGATTGAATATCCTTCCTGAATGTAAATAGTACGTGCGTATAGTTAGCAGCACAAGTACCTAGCAGCAAAATAATTTCAAGGTCATTTGTTTAAAATTTAATTTTACTGTATAAAATGTTAAAATATTGCTATAAAGTCAATTAAATCTTAATGTTTTAGGCTTTTTTAGTTTTTTTGACATAAATATCTTAAACATAATTATCTGACAGCATTATTTTCCATTGTTACCAACATCCCACAGTCGGTGCTGGCGATTCTGCTGTTGATAATGCAAATAAAATTACAAATATTACATCAAATTTTACATTAATGATATTAATGTTTCCTTATTAACTCAATAAACATAAATGTGAAAGAAAAATATAGTGTTTCGTGTTGATTTCAAGAAATTTACAACAAATTCTTTCGCTGTGTTTGGGAGGTTATTAAGTCTGCTGCTAGAACATTTTGATAGAAATAATCCATCAAATTTTACATTTTTGATACTAATGTTTCCTTATTAACTTAATAAACATAAATGCGAAAGAAAAATATAGTGTTTCGTGTTGATTTCAAGAAATTTACAACAAATTCTTTCGCTGTGTTTGAGAGGTTATTAAGTCTGCTGCTAGAACATTTTGATAGAAATAATCCATCAAATTTTACATTTATGATACTAATGTTTCCTTATTAACTCAATAAATATAAATGTCAAAGAAAAATATAGTGTTTCGTGTTGATTTCAAGAAATTTACAACAAATTTTTTCGCTGTGTTTGAGAGGTTAAGTCTGCTGCTAGAAGTTTTTGATAGAAATAATCCATCAAATTTTACATTTTTGATACTAATGTTTCCTTATTAACTCAATAAATATAAATGTGAAAGAAAAATATAGTGTTTCGTGTTGATTTCAAGAAATTTACAACAAATTTTTTCGCTGTGTTTGAGAGGTTAAGTTTGCTGCTAGAAGTTTTTGATAGAAATAATCCATCAAATTTTACATTTTTGATACTAATGTTTCCTTATTAACTCAATAAATATAAATGTCAAAGAAAAATATAGTGTTTCGTGTTGATTTCAAGAAATTTACAACAAATTCTTTGAGAGTTGTGTGTTTGAGAGTTTATTAAATCTGCTGCTAGAACTTTTTGATATAAATAATCCATCAAATTTTACATTTTTGATACTAATGTTTCCTTATTAACTCAATAAATATAAATGTCAAAGAAAAATATAGTGTTTCGTGTTGATTTCAAGAAATTTACAACAAATTCTTTCGCTGTGTTTGAGAGGTTATTAAGTCTGCTGCTAGAACATTTTGATAGAAATAATCCATCAAGTTTTACATTTATGATACTAATGTTTCCTTATTAACTCAATAAATATAAATGTCAATGAAAAATATAGTGTTTCGTGTTGATTTCAAGAAATTTACAACAATTTTTTTCGCTGTGTTTGAGAGGTTATTAAGTCTGCTGCTAGAACATTTTGATAGAAATAATCCATCAAATTTTACATTTATGATACTAATGTTTCCTTATTAACTCAATAAATATAAATGTCAAAGAAAAACATAGTGTTTCATGTTGATTTCAAGAAATTTACAACAAATTTTTTCGCTATGTTTGAGAGGTTAAGTCTGCTGCTAGAAGTTTTTGATAGAAATAATCCATCAAATTTTACATTTTTGATACTAATGTTTCCTTATTAACTCAATAAATATAAATGTCAAAGAAAAATATAGTGTTTCGTGTTGATTTCAAGAAATTTACAACAAATTCTTTCGCTGTGTTTGAGAGGTTATTAAGTCTGCTGCTAGAGCTAGAACATTTTGATAGAAATAATCCATCAAATTTTACATTTATGATACTAATGTTTCCTTATTAACTCAATAAATATAAATGTCAATGAAAAATATAGTGTTTCGTGTTGATTTCAAGAAATTTACAACAATTTTTTTCGCTGTGTTTGAGAGGTTATTAAGTCTGCTGCTAGAACATTTTGATAGAAATAATCCATCAAATTTTACATTTATGATACTAATGTTTCCTTATTAACTCAATAAATATAAATGTCAAAGAAAAATATAGTGTTTCGTGTTGATTTCAAGAAATTTACAACAAATTTTTTCGCTGTGTTTGAGAGGTTAAGTCTGCTGCTAGAAGTTTTTGATAGAAATAATCCATCAAATTTTACATTTTTGATACTAATGTTTCCTTATTAACTCAATAAATATAAATGTGAAAGAAAAATATAGTGTTTCGTGTTGATTTCAAGAAATTTACAACAAATTTTTTCGCTGTGTTTGAGAGGTTAAGTTTGCTGCTAGAAGTTTTTGATAGAAATAATCCATCAAATTTTACATTTTTGATACTAATGTTTCCTTATTAACTCAATAAATATAAATGTCAAAGAAAAATATAGTGTTTCGTGTTGATTTCAAGAAATTTACAACAAATTCTTTGAGAGTTGTGTGTTTGAGAGTTTATTAAATCTGCTGCTAGAACTTTTTGATATAAATAATCCATCAAATTTTACATTTTTGATACTAATGTTTCCTTATTAGCTCAATAAATATAAATGTGAAATAAGTAATACATAATGTAAATGCAATAAAATAAGTTTATAAAGATAAACGTGAATATATATGAAACACATGTTGTCTTAAACAACACACATTCACAATTGAGAACGAATGAATCATTTCGATTGAGATTGCATCCAGGGCATCACACAGGAGATTCTATTTTAGAGCAGCTTAAAATTGGCATGGTATCTCAGATGGCATTGGACTACATGCATCTCGTGTGTTTAGGTGTCACCAAAAGATTGTTAAGTCTGTGGGTGAAAGGTTCGAGAGATGTCCAATTAGATAACAAAGCGACTGAAAGGGTAAGTGAATTTTTGGTAAGTTATAAAAAATGTGTAACTCCTGAGTTTTCTAGGTTACCAAGATCTCCTAAAGATGTTAACTATTGGAAGGCCAACGAGTTCAGGTTGGTTCTGCTATATTTTGGACCCATAGTTTTACAACCTGTACTGGAAAAGAATAAGTACATCAATTTCATACAACTTAGTTTGGAGATTAGAATTTTGTGCGACCCAGAGATGTGCATCGAGAAAAACGATACAGTAAACAGATTTCTCACTAATTTTGTGAATGAATATTCAAGGCTATATGGAGCTGGCCGGATGACTTACAACACCCACAATTTGATACATCTTCCGGCTGATGTGATGAATTTCAAATGTAGCTTAGATCGGTTCAGCTGATTTCCTTTTGAAAGCTATTTCAAGAAGGTACAAGATAAGCTGCAGAACTCGCCGAAACCTATCCACCAGCTGGTCAACAGAATGACTGAAGAGGAGATGCTTGAAGCAATCTTTGCTAATGAGCAGAGATATCCAAATATGCAGTATGGAAGAGATGGACAGATAAAAATAAAATATAAAGATTTTATTATTTGTAATAGCGCTCCAGACAATCTTTGTATGGGCACTGATAATTTTCTATTATTTTTTCAGCATATTCATGATTTAAATCAAATTGTATGTTTATGAATTAAGAATTATAAGCCATTGTTTGTGAGTGCATGTGATTATACGATTTTTCATATGTATTTATATCATTTAAATGACAACAATAGTAATGATGTTGTAATATCCGCACAGCAAATTAAAAAAAAGTGCCTTAATTTGCCATATATTACTGGAAAATATTTTGTGTCAATACCAATAATTCATTTGAATAATTGACATCATACTATTAAGGCATTATTACATGTTAATTATTCAAATGTATTATTGGTATTGACACAAAATATTTTCCAGTAACGTATGGCAAATTAAGGCACTTTTTTTTAATTTGCTGTGCGAATATTACAATTATTAAATAATTGAATTGTTTAATTTTAAATATACTATTGTATAGAATAATTGTATAAAAATAAATATAAAATAATATAATGTAATAAACAGTTTCATTGTTCACTATGTTTACAGTTTCAGCAGTTTCATTGTTAACTTTGTATATATAACTTTAAACACTTTTTGCTTTACATTTATATTTATTGAGTGAGTTAATAAGGAAACATTAGTATCATAAATGTAAAATTTGATGGATTATTTCTATCAAAAAGTTCTAGCAGCAGATTTAATAACCTCTCACACAACTCTCAAAGAATTTGTTGTAAATTTCTTGAAATCAACACGAAACACTATATTTTTGCTTCACATTTATGTTTATTACGTTAATAAGGAAACATTAGTATCATAAATGTAAAATTTGATGGATTATTTCTATCAAAAAGTTCTAGCAGCAGATTTAATAAACTCTCAAACACACAACTCTCAAAGAATTTGTTGTAAATTTCTTGAAATCAACACGAAACACTATATTTTTCTTTGACATTTATATTTATTGAGTTAATAAGGAAACATTAGTATCAAAAATGTAAAATTTGATGGATTATTTCTATCAAAAACTTCTAGCAGCAGACTTAACCTCTCAAACATAGCGAAAAAATTTGTTGTAAATTTCTTGAAATCAACATGAAACACTATGTTTTTCTTTGACATTTATATTTATTGAGTTAATAAGGAAACATTAGTATCATAAATGTAAAATTTGATGGATTATTTCTATCAAAAAGTTCTAGCAGCAGATTTAATAAACTCTCAAACACACAACTCTCAAAGAATTTGTTGTAAATTTCTTGAAATCAACACGAAACACTATATTTTTCTTTGACATTTATATTTATTGAGTTAATAAGGAAACATTAGTATCAAAAATGTAAAATTTGATGGATTATTTCTATCAAAAACTTCTAGCAGCAGACTTAACCTCTCAAACATAGCGAAAAAATTTGTTGTAAATTTCTTGAAATCAACATGAAACACTATGTTTTTCTTTGACATTTATATTTATTGAGTTAATAAGGAAACATTAGTATCATAAATGTAAAATTTGATGGATTATTTCTATCAAAATGTTCTAGCAGCAGACTTAATAACCTCTCAAACACAGCGAAAAAAATTGTTGTAAATTTCTTGAAATCAACACGAAACACTATATTTTTGCTTCACATTTATGTTTATTAAGTTAATAAGGAAACATTAGTATCATAAATGTAAAATTTGATGGATTATTTCTATCAAAAAGTTCTAGCAGCAGATTTAATAAACTCTCAAACACACAACTCTCAAAGAATTTGTTGTAAATTTCTTGAAATCAACACGAAACACTATATTTTTCTTTGACATTTATATTTATTGAGTTAATAAGGAAACATTAGTATCAAAAATGTAAAATTTGATGGATTATTTCTATCAAAATGTTCTAGCAGCAGACTTAATAACCTCTCAAACACAGCGAAAGAATTTGTTGTAAATTTCTTGAAATCAACACGAAACACTATATTTTTGCTTCACATTTTTTATTATTCTCATCAATTTTATTTATTGAGTTGATAATTGATAAGCACTTGTGTAATATATGTAATTTTATTTGCATTATCAACAGCAAAATCGCCAGCACCGACTGTGGGATGTTGGTAACAATGGAAAATAATGCTGTCAGATAATTATGTTTAAGATATTTATGTCAAAAAAACTAAAAAAGCCTAAAACATTAAGATTTAATTGACTTTATAGCAATATTTTAACATTTTATACAGTAAAATTAAATTTTAAACAAATGACCTTGAAATTATTTTGCTGCTAGGTACTTGTGCTGCTAACTATACGCACGTAAATAGTATGCATATTGATAGTAGCAAACAAAATTTATATTTTGAATTTCATTATTCTTACCTCTGTTATTGTAAAATCATAAAAAATAAATGATGAAAATATGTAAGAAATATGAATTATTAAATGTTTAACCTAAAAATGCACGTTTTACGTCAAAACAAATATTAGTTGACAGCAAATTCAACTCATAAATGTGTCATCCGCCATATTTGTTGGAATCCAAGTTGCACTTAAAATCCGCTAGAGGAGAGCTTGCCCGTTCCCTATAAACGAACACATAGAACGAAAACCACACAAAATAAAACATAATAACGCTAAAATCCCATTCAACTCTGCAGCGAATCATTTCTGACGTATAATACAGCAAACTTCACACCCCAAAAAGGAACATTGTAGTGGCTGGATAAGGACACTCATGATTACAGATGTTTGTACCGGCCATGTTTTGAGGTATGGATCAAGATTTAAATAATGACACCGTAGTGTCACTTAAACTCACGGAGCTAATTGGATTGCTCAAAGCAACGCAAAATGATAATATATCTAACGGTGATTTGCGGGCTTTAATACCCGAATTTGGGGGATCGCCTGATGAATGCGTTGAATCCTGGTTTCGACGTGTTGAAGCAGTGCGGAACGAATATAAGGTAACAAAAAGAAAAATGACTATACTCCTAGTTTCAAAATTATCATCGACTGCGCAAAAATGGTACTACAGCAAACCGGAGTACGCAAGTTATACGTACGATGATATTAAAAAGCACTTGACTACATTCTTTATAAACAAAGAAGATCACATGACGTTATTCAAGAGGTTTGAGGCCCGAAAATGGCAAAGAGGTGAACCATTCATCAGATACTTCCACGAAAAAATGGCACTGGGAAACAGGACAGGATTTAAAGAATGCGAAATATTGCCCTATATGATCGACGGCTTTGAAAATCCTGCTCTTCAAGCCCAAGCCAAAATAAGTCAGTTTAAGGACCTCGCAACGTTACTAAGTGTTATGAATACGTTGACGTCAGCGGAACGTGGCGATTATGCAGTGCAGCCGGAGAAAGAAAAAGCAGTTCGTTTTGAGAGAACAGAACTACAAGGCGCAAATTATATTAATATTTACGAAGGTGTCGATAGCGCAGTTCAGCGTATGTGGCAGCCATTCGAACCACAAAGCGTAAGTTCTGTAAATTACTAATAATTAATAGTCGGCTAACAATATATATATATATATATATATATATATATATATATATATATATATATGATTGATTTCTTGGAGGGCGTAACATCAAGTGAAAAATAAGTAAAGATCTTTTTCAAAACATCTTTATTCTTCCATACGTTTCGACGTAAAATTCTACGTCATCTTCAGTGATTCAATTACAATTTAAAAAAAGAAGAAAAAAAAACCAGAAAGTAACGTTACAAATTGAATATACATAAGCAATAGTAAAAAAGAAAAGTTTTAACTAAAGAGAATTGCATAAAACATTACTTACTAGAATTATTTATATTATCACTAACACATATTAATATAACTTGTACAAATTAATATTTAAAGACAAGCACTAACTGTCAGTAATTTCTTTTTTTTTATAATAAAAAGAATAAATGATAAAAAGTGATTAATAAATAAAATATTATACGTAATACACGTGCATCCGAGGCCAGTGCCATACAGAATAATATTTTTTGTAAGTGTCCGAGATGGAAGTCAAAATTTTTAGAAAAAACAAACCACATGTGCTTGTGTTTGACCCAACGTCTTGGCGCGCTATGCAAGTGTGCGTGATAGTGTTGTGCAAACCGTGGTGTTAGGTATTCGATATGAATTGGGAAACATTATTTAGAACAAATTGGTAATTTTTGCAAATGAAGCTGGCGTCCGTACGTTTGTTTAAACAATGATTTCTGTTCAAGAAAATATAGGCTGATTCTGAAAAACGCCTTTGTGAGACTTTCGACCCGTGATGAAGAACCTTTGCGTTATAAAAATTGAATGTATGGTTATTTAGTTTTAAATGTTCTGTGATCATCGGATAAAAATTTATCCGATGTGAAAAAAACTTTTTTATAACGCAAATCTCCGTTTAGTATGCAACATCGATTTAACTCTCAACTCCCTCTTCTCAAATTTAAAGCCGCGCACGCGAGTAAATGTGGTCTATAAAATATCTTTTAGTATGCAACATCGATTTAACTCTCAACTCCCTCTTCTCAAATTTAAAGCCGCGCACTAGTTTTAGAACGAGTATCTAATGTGGTCTATAAAATATCTTGCAATGACTGTGATTCCACCTATATTGGCGAAACAGGACAGAACCTTATCAAACGATTGAAACAACACGATAATAACTCAAAAAACAAAAAACAAGGGCAAACAATGATCACAGAACATTTAAAACTAAATAACCATACATTCAATTTTTATAACGCAAAGGTTCTTCATCACGAGTCGAAAGTCTCACAAAGGCGTTTTTCAGAATCAGCCTATATTTCTTGAACAGAAATTATTGTTTAAACAAACGTACGGACGCTAGCTTTATTTGCGAAAATTACCAATTTGTTCTAAATAATGTTTCCCAATTCATATCGAATACCTAACACTACGGTTTGCACAACACTATCACGCACACTTGCATAGCGCGCCAAGAC